GACTGCACCTGGGCTGTCTGGATCGCTCCTCCTCTTGCCTCCCTGACACCTGGTGGGGGGAGGTGCTGAGCGTGACCTCCTTCTGCTACTCCTGGGAGCCCAGCAGGCTGTCCTGCCAGGGACCTGGGTGGGGGGTAGACTTGGGGTCCCCTACTCCCCAAGCTACATCATTGGCAAAGCAGCCCTGGAGGACCCACCCCACACCGCACTTCCGGAAGAGCTTTTTCTTCTTATCCCCACCCCCTGTCCTAAAATAGGAACTGCTCCACCCCTCCCTTCCTTGACACCAGGAGCTCAGCGCTGCTGTGACTCAGTCCGCATTTGGAGCAGCCCAAGGAAGGGCTGGCATGGGGAGCTCTGCGCCTCGTGAAATCCACACAGCTCTTCTGCAGGGCGCCCCTCCCAATCCCGGCTGCCTCTGGGTCCCTGCCTCAGCCCCCACCGTCACCCCCACTCCCCCAGGATGGGTTGCTTGCGGCTGCCACCAAGAAGAAACTATGCAGCGATTCTGGGGCTAGTTACCCAGTGTGTTCAGTGGAGTCAGACGCTGTTTAATGGGGTAAAACGTGGCCAGCACCAGCTATTGCCAGGCAAAACTCGAGTCCATAGTGCAGCTTAATCCTCTGGAAAACACAGTGCCAAATATTTACAGAGGGGGACCAAGGTTGGAAGGTTTGCCACCTGCCCAGAGACATGCCGTGGGTGAGGGTGGGAGCTGGGAGACTGCAGTGACCTTGTGCTCCCTGCATGCTCTCCACAGAGAAGCAGCGTGCGGGGTGCCGAACCCCTTACCCACAGGGTCCCCAGCACACTGGCTGGGATCCCCAATACCGGCTGGGCCAACCGAGCCCGAAGCTCCCATGAACCTGTCAGTCCCTCTGGCCACTGACTGGATAACCGGCCTTTCGAGGGTGGAGGGGAGGTTAATAAGACAGACCCTCTGGGCAAACCCTGAGGGCTTAGAAGAGACCCCCTAGAAGGGTCATCAGCAGTGTCTGGGTGGGTGCAGGGAGGTGCTTTGATTCCTGGGAGTCCGGAGGGTTTGGTGGCGATACCTTCCAGACGGCTGGTGCCCCTGACGGTTAACTGCAGACTACCCCAATTGCTACCTGATCCAGGTTGATGACTGAGCTGGACCAAGGTGCCGCCCCTCCCACCTGGCATCATCTCCAGCCGGTTAAGGAGGCTGCTTTTTCCTTTCAACCTGCCAGTTGTTGCCTGCAAGGATAAATCGCCTTTAAAGAGAAAACAAGTGTTCCATTCTTTCCTTCAGTCCGTAATGGTGTCCTTAGGCAGGAATCGGCAAAATCGAGACAGGGTGCCGTTCGGGGCCCATGGTGCCCCCTCACTCCTTTGCACAATGGGTAGCAGTGCCCCAGCTCAGGGATGCCAGAGTTGAGGCGATGGCTTCTACCCCCGCCCCC